AAAAAAAAAAAAAAAAAAAGAAGGTAGAGGGACTAAGATTGGAAGTATGAATGCAAAAGTTACACAACTGACCTTACACTATTAATAGAAACTCACTCTCCCCCCCCTTATTTTTTTAGCCAGAGTCTCACGGTCACCCAGGCTGGAATACAGGGACATGCTCTTGGCCACCACAGCCTCGACTTGCTGGGCTCCTTCCGTCTCAGCCTTCTAAGTAGCTGGAACTACAGGCATGTGCCACCACGCCCGGCTAATTTTTTATTTTTATTTTTTGAGTTGGAGTCTCACTCCATCGTCCAGGCTGGAGTGCAGTGGCAAGTTCATGGTTACCCCAGCATCAATCTGCTGGACTCATGCAATCCTTCTGCCTCAACCTTCCAAGTAGCTGGAACTACAGACGTGCACTACCACACCCACTAATTTTTTATTTTTATTTTTTAATATATTGTAGAGAAGAGTTCTCACCCAGTTGCCCAAGCTGGTCTCAACCTGCAGGTTTAGGCAATCTACTCACCTCAGCCTTCCAAAGTACTGGGATTACAGGCTGAGCCACCAAGCCTGGCCTAATTTTTTGATTTATTGTGGAGACAAGGTCTCGCCAAATTGCCAGGCTGGTCTCGAACCCCGGGGCTCTCCCTCCCAAAGTGCTGGAATTACAGGCGTGAGCTACCATGTCTGGCAGAAGCAGCATTTTATATTAGGAAGACAACAGATAACTGTCTTAAGATCCAGTTGCTAGCATATTGCACAGAGCTGCAGGTCCAAGCATTTTTGATAGACTCTAAATAAAAATTCATCTTTCATATTGTGATGCTGTACACAACCACACTGATCAGTGAAACGAGCGTTTTACCAAATAATTCTCCTATAGTATTTTTCACACCTTTGATTCAGTTCACTGGGGTAGGAGGCTACCTCTGGGCTGCAGACCCAGTGGCCACACCTCACCTGTTCCTGATCTCCTTCAGTAATGCTGTGTCTTTGTCATAGCCAAACTCGCCTCCAGCTGGTCGAGGAACGTTCATGATGTCAGCGTGGGTAGCCACCAGGACAACTCGGAGTGGGTTCTTCAGCTTGCCACCAAAGGCTGGGGGCAGAGAATGAACTGTTTCAGGAGGTAGGTCCTCCTACCTTGCTGCATTTCCTGCCCAAGTAAGAGGAGCGTGGTGGCCTCACGCACAAGCTGTCTCTCCAGGAGCATGGGCGGCCCTCCACAGATAGGAGGGCCCCACACCCACTCTCTGGTGTGACCTTGGAAGGCCCAGACCAAGCCAACAACAAGATAAGCGTATTTCCTGAGCCTGAAGAAACATTACTCAGGAGTGGACCAGAACGGACTCTAGAACAAATGGCAGGTTCTCGGGTCTTCCTCCAAATAGCTGCTGCCTGCATAGGTTGGGGAGATTTAACCTCTGACAAGGGGAACACTCTTTACAAGAGGAAAGAAAGCCCTCTGATTGCAGCAACACCACAGAGATGGTGTTGGGACTAAGATTGGAGGTATGAGATAAATGGCCTGCAAATGACACGGACAGAGGGTCTCTCACTTAGAGGAGAGTTTAGAAAGAAAATATGAAGAAAGGAAAAAGGGGCAAAAATGGCAACACCCTGAGGGGGTATTAAGCCCAATTTATTTTATTGTTATATAATTTTCTTGAAAAATGATTGATTGTTGAGTATTGTGTTTTACCAGGGAAGACGGCTTCTCTTGCGGGCAAAAAACAAAAGAAGTTTATTCCATGCTATCCTCCTATCCTCCCCTAACTCCAGGAATAAAGCTAAGTCAGTCAACACCGTCGCTTCTCTTCAGTTCTTGATGGAACTACAGGATGAAGGAGAGTTCCTTCCGGATTCAGTCTGTACCCTTTAGGTACAAGTGCAATAGCTGGCCAAGCAGGGGTGCCACTTCCCACCCAGCATAATGACACAGGCTCTGAAGTGTAGAAAGAGAGTGAGAAATGCCTCTCAGGGACTTGCTCAGATTTGGGCCTTGGAGGCAGGAATATGCAATCATGAAACAAAAACACCCTGCGGGACACCATGAAAACCTGAACCCCAGAGTAGAACTCTCTAGGCAGGAAGGAGAAAGGAAGGCGCCCAGCTGTTAGCCACACGCTGTGGGATCTGCACATGGCCGGGTACAAAGCTGCAGCAGGGGGAGGAGTGGAGCAGGAGCTTGGAGGGAAGAGGCCATTCCCCCAGTCACAGGAAGGACACTCGCTGGCCTGCGGGGATTCAGCTCACCTATGGGTTCTTCAACCGGGACAAGGGACTTCAGAAAACTGAGCCAGAAAATCACTTGGTTCAGCTGGATCTCATAGGGTTCTTCTAGACTAAAAACAACAACATGGATGGACGTGGGATCATTTGCGGCAAAATAGTCGTAACAGCAGAAGTACACAGGATTTCCAGAGAACTCCCACACGCTGAAATCGCCAACTCCTGCAGAAAAAGAGGCATGAGGATGACTCCCAAAACATCACCTTCGAAGTTCCCGCATCACTTTTCCTGGCCCTCTGGGGATTCCAAGCAGGGAGGGTGGCATCCTTGACCCTCACCTGTAGATGTCACATCTCGTTAGGATTTGGGCATCGTTTGTCCCTAGCAAAACTCATGTGGGAACTTGGTCCTCAGTGTGGTGGTGCCGGAAGGTGGGGCCTAGTGGCAGGTGTTTGGATCACGTGTGTAAATCCCTCATGAATGGCTTGGTGCTGTTCTCAGGGTTGGGAGTGAGCTCTTGAGATCGGATTCACTCTCATGGGAATGGATCAGTTCCTGGGAAGGTGGGCTGTTAGAAAGTGGGTCTCACCCTACCATGTGCCCAATTCCCCTGTGACCTTTTGCCATGTTTAGATCCAGCACAAAATCTTCCACCAGAAGCCGAGCAGACACCAGCGCCAGCCCCCTGGGCTTCCCATCCTGCAGAACCGTGAGCTAAATGAAACTGCTTCCTTAGAAATTACCCTGTCTCAGGTATTCTGTTATAGCAACATGAAGCAAATTAAAACATACTCTACTAAAGTGCAGAATTAAATATGTGATATTTACATATCTATATCATATATATCCATGTCTGTTTCTCTACTTATACCTGCACCTTCATTATTAGATATATATTTATATAAATATAACATTTTAATATTCATATGTATTATATATTCAAATATTTATATTTATATAAATATAAATACCTATTTCTATCTCATATCTACTCTTAATGCCCTGGAGGGGGAAACACACACACACACACACACACACACACACACACACACACAATGTACACGTGCCTAGATGCTTACATAGGAATGTGTACATATGTGTGTATAAACACACATATATTATACATACAGATATAATTTGTTTTATTCCTCGTACAAAAAGAGAAAGAACAAAGATCCATCAGGTCAGATTACACAGAGGCATGGACAGGACATCCATAATGACACAGGTTGAGACACGCACATCTGAACTCAAACATCCTATCTTTATCTGCAGTGTTTACTCCTGACAAAGAAGGAGCCAGGGACAGACCACTCACTTTGAGTTTGCAATCAGCAAACTCATAAAGTCCAAGAGAGGATTAAATGACAGAAGGCAAGTGAGAACACTCCATGCCCTGAAAGGGGTATAGGTGTGTTTTATTACCTGATAGGGTAAAGGATTTGAATGTAAAGGTGACTATGAAATGTCCCTTGAATTTCGGTTCAACAGTGAGGCCTTCGCCTTCTCCAGGTGAGCGAGGGCTCTGCCCAGATGGCTCAGAAGCTGCAGGCAGTGTGCACAGGTGTGAGGGACAGACCTCTCAGCAGTCCTGCATGTGCAGGATGACAGTGAACCTGGGAGTAGGTGGGGTCCCAGAGGCAGGGAAGGGTCAAGCAGCAGTCAAAGGTTGTCGGGGCCAGCTGTGGGAGCGGCGGCTTTTCCCTGAAGTGTCTATAGGTGGGATTCCATCTGGTATTTCCAGGGCACCCAGAACCTCTCAATGACCATCTAGATGCATGGACCCTACCCCTCCACTGCCACATCCTGCCAGGACACTGGCTGCCCACCCCACCGGCCTCTGGGACAGCCTGGCAGGGCCACTTTGGCTAGAGGATCCAAAGGCTCCCTTTCCCCTGCTCTCCTCTTTGGTGCTTACTCCATGTCAGATATTCTTTAGTGAAGATGCACTCTGTGAGATCTAAAGAACTTTTCTCAGCCTCTTCTTGGAGCCCGGGAGACAGGGGGCGGATCACCTTCCAAGAGCGGCCGCTCAGCCTAGTGTGGAAAGTTCTGGAACCCTTTGCCCTTTGAATGCCAGGAACCAGACATCAGGTGGGATGGGGCTTGGAAGAACAGGTGAGGGCGGGGACGGCGGGCACCCAGGACAAGTTTCTTCTCTCGGTGCTGCCAGGGACCTGGGAGGACAGCTAACTTTTAAGAGAGCAAAACACACATGGATTCTGATTCTATTCATTGGGGCCAGTGGTTCTCAAAGGGGTCTCCTGACCAGCAGCATCAGTCTCCCCAGGACCTCCTCAGACCCACTGACTCAGAAACTCGGTGGTGGGCCCAGAGGCTGTGTTTGCAAGGCCCTCCCAGTGAGCCTCCTGCAGGGGGGTTGTACCAGGGCCTTTGGGAAGGTGATACCAGCTGCCAGTTCTGAGAGCCTCCCTGGGCCCGACAGGACACAGGCTCTTTAATACGCCTCAGCTCGTCAGGAGGTTGCATTGTCAGCACCAGTTTGCAGGTGTGGAAACTGAGTCACAAAGAAAGTAAATGGGTTGCCCTCAGCCCTGCCGCTGGTTAGGAGCAGTGTCAGGACTGGAATCTTTTTTTTTTTTTTTTTTTTGAGTTGGAGTCTCACTCAGTTGCCCAGACTGGAGTGCCATGGCCGCTCCCGGCCACCGCAGCCTCGACCTATTGGACTCCAGCGATCCTTCCGCTTCAGCCTTCCGAGTAGCTGGAGCTACAGGCGCGCGCTACCACACCCGGCTGATTTTTTAGATTTATTGTAGAGATGAGGTCTTGCCAAGTTGTCCAGATGGGTCTCAAACCCGCGGGCTCAGGCAATTCACTCACCTCAGCCTCCCAAAGTGCGGGATTACAGGCTGAGCCACTGAGCCCGGCCAGGACTGGAATCTAAGTGTTCCTTCCCAAGCTCGGGCTCTGACCTGCCGCTCCACAGGCAAGGGACTCCTGTTCAAGTGACACGAGGCCACCTAGCATCCTCCACAGAGCGTGTCACAGTTGCTGGATGAAGTGACCTTCCCTGGGAAGATTTAAAGCCTCAACCTGGGAAATGTTTGAGAGCAAAGAACACATTGAACGTTTTCCTATTTTAAAGAAATTGCCTGTGTCTATATCACGGCATTCGTATGACTCTCGATGTAGTTAAGCATAATCCTTTTTGTAACTGGATGAATCAAAGTAGGACAGCAAGTCCCCTACATATGAATGAGCTCCATTCTGAAACCACATTCCTAAATCCAATTTGTTCATATGTCCAACAAAGTTAGCCTGGGTACCCAACTAATATGACTGGCTATATACTACTGTATTGTAATAAGTTTATAATACTTTTCACATAAATAATGCATGGAAAACAAACACAAAAACTCAAGAAAATATTTTGATCTTCTAGCACAGTCCTTTGAAAAGTACAGTAGCACAGTACAGTACAATAGCTGGCATACAGGGACTGGCATCAAGTGAACAGGCAAGAAGAGTTACTGACGGGAGGTGGGAGATGGTGGAGCTGAGGGATCATCAGCCATAGGAGATTAGACTCGTGAATGCACGTTCATGTCTTTGGAAGTTCACAACTTGTAATCCCAGCACTTTGGGAGGCCGAGGCTAGAGGATTGCCTGAGCCTGGGGGGTTCGAGACCAGCCTGGGCAACTTGGTCAGACCTTGTCTCTACAATAAATCAAAAAATCAGCTGGGCATAGTAGCACGTGCATAGTAGTTGCAGCTACTTGGAAGGCTGAGGTGGAAGGATCACCTAAACCCAACAGGTAGAGGCTGCAGTGGCTGTGAGCATGCCACTGCACTCCAGCCTGGGTGACAGAGTGAGACTCCAACTCAAAAAATAAAGAAAGTTCACAATTTGAAGGTTCATATGTCGGGGACGTATTGTGATGTGATTGCATTTTTATGAGATTTCCCATCCAAGTGAGTATGTGATTCTACTTTTACACATCTGTTAATTCAGAAGGGCTTAAGGATGGCAGACTGCACACATCTGGCCGTTGCCTTCCCCACAAAGAAGAATCAAAATAGAGAGTCGATAATCCCACTTGGAACAGAAAATACAAGAGAGAACAATGAAATACAATAGAGAAGTGACAAGAAACACCTGTAGCAAGGAAGGAAGGGAAAGCAAGGCAACCTGCTAGACTCAGACCAGTTAGGATCCTGGAGAGACTCCCCAATTCAGGGAAAGGGTAAGTAGAGACGCCCAGGGGTCCACAGTCCCACTACAAACTCCTGCAATCCTAGACCTGGGAAAGCGCTTTGACCCCCGCAGGCCCTGACATTAGTTTAGGGGACTGCCTGGAGACCGTATGCCAGCCCTGTTCAAGTGGGGGAGATCACGCTGGGTCCCACACACACCCTGGGTCCTAACCAGCTACAGCACGGCAACATTTTGAGAGTCCACATCCCACCAGACTGCACCCTGCCCTGAGGGCCAACAGTCCCCGAATCTCCACATCCCTGGCTCTCCTGACAGCCCCCACCTGCAGCCACTGCTGTGGCTGGCGGCTGTCGTCAGGTCCTAAGTATAAGCCATTGGTAACGACCCCACTTACTCCTAGCAGAGGGATGGATGTGCAGTTTCACATGTCCTGAGGACAGAATCCCCTGCCTACAGCCACTACCCGCTGTGGCCATTGGGCACGAAGCACATGCAAGGTGCACACTCCCTGGCTGGTGTATACAGCTGGTGCCATTGAAAGCAACCCCACTCTCCCTAGTAGTAGGGCCGCTGTGCAGCCACTGCCTCCCCAACTGGAGCATTTTGCCAGGGGCCGAGGATCACCCTGCTTCTGTTAAGTACAGGCAGCACCTGCACTCACCGCCAGGGGGCCTAAGGACAGGTTTGCGGGGCCCCGCCCCATCCACACCCAAGTGCTTGAGTTTAGTGTCTGGGGTCCCTGGGGATTGTCCTTTGTCCACCACCACCATCCAAGCACCGCTCCTGGAGGCCTGAGATGAGGCTCACCCAACTTACCGCTACCAGCACAGCTGGCACCCACCTGCTCATGCCACCTGTGGGCCTGGGTACTGCTCCACCCAGTTCATCGCAGCAGCCACTGCCAACGCCAGCACAGATCTCTTGGGAGCCACCAGAGGGTTCTACCACCATGGCTACTGCCATCACACCCAGATCATACCCAGTGCACAGGGATCCAAGAACCTGCCTAGCCATATGGCCCACCGCTGCCACTGTCAGCACCTGACCAAGTTTCCTGGAGGCCTAAGAATCAGCCCACTGGACTCACCAGCACCAATGCCAGCACACGCTGCCTTGGAGCCCAAAGATAGGCATGCTCAGCCCACTGTTGTCACCACTAGGGACTGGGGACCAGCCTACCTGGGAACTCCATCTCCAGAAAAATTTCACCATGGCCTCCACTCACAATTGCACCCTAAGCCACTGACAGAATTACAGATGCCACTGATGCTGTTTATAGCCAAATAAATCATATGGCAACTATACTACTCCATGCACCCAGAATCAAAGCCCAAGTGTCCTATCCAACTAACGCATGGATACCTCTTCAGGAAAAAGTCCTCCCGTACGAAAGCAAATTTAAAAAACTAGAAGACGTGATTGTAATCATTACCTCAGATGGACAGACATCAACATAAGAACACAAGAAACATGAAGAAGCAAGGAAATGTGGCACCTCCAAAGAAGCACAATAAATTGCCAGTAACAGATTCCAATGAAAAATTCATGAAATCCTAGAAAAAGAACTGAAAATAACGATATTCAGCAAGTTCAGTGAGATACAAGAAAATACAGAAAAACAAATACAAAGAAATAAGAAAATAACTCACAATATCAGTGAGAAATCTACCAAAGAGATCGCTATCATAAAAAAACAAACAGAAATTCTAGAAAAAGCTTCAACAATAGACTAGATCAAGCAAAAGAAAGAATGTCAGAACTTGAAGATAGCTCTTTTGAAATAATGTAATCAGACAAGAATTTTTAGAGAAACAGCATGAAAAAGAATGAACAAAGCGCTTGTGACATATGAGATACCATGAAGTGAACAAATATTCAAATTTTTCGTATCCCAAAGGCAAAAAGAAATTAAAAGAGATTTTTAAAACACCTACTAAACAAAATAATAGCTGAAGACTTCCTAAGTCTAGCAAGAGATACAGACCTCCAGATACAGGAAGCTCAGCGATTTCCATATAGATATAATTCAAAAAGGATTCCCTACAGTACATTTCAATACAACTGTCAAACATCAAAAAGCGAATTATGAAAACAGCAAAACAGTCTAAAGCCATACTACCCTGAATGTGCTCAATCTCATCTAAAAAACAGCAAAATCAAAGTGTCTAGTCATTATAAGGGTATACCCATTAGACTCACAGTGGATTTCTCAGCAGAAATCTTATAGGCCAGGAGAAAATGAAAGAATATTTTGAAAGGGCTGAAAAAAGCAAACTGTCGGCCAAGGATACTATATCCAGCAAAGTTCTCCCTCGTAAGTTTCCCTTGGGATTTTCTTCAGGATGTGACACTGCCCGGCACAAGGTCCTTTGGGGAATGACATACAGCCCTGTCAAAGGGAAACCCGAGGTCCCTCCCTTGGGGCAGGACGTACCATTCAAATAGGCGTTCTGGATGTCAATGGCCTTGGTGGACTGGTCATCGGCCGAGCAGTGCGAGTGGTGGGACGGGGCCACGAACACCTCCAGCATCCCTTTGGTGAGGCCGGGCTCGAACATCATGCTGCGGCTCCTCACGCTCACGTTCTCGCAGCCCGGGTACAGGTTGTTGATGCTCACGGACACTGCAGGCCGGAAAGAGTGAAGTGAGACCTCACGCAGGGCAGGTGTGCCCATCTCCCTTCCGGCCTTGCCCTGTGATGTCCTTCTGGAAGGCCTCTCTGCAGCCTCCCGCCCTCCGGCTCGGTGTGTGTGCCTTCGCGTGTGCTGACAGCCGTGTTTCCAGGGAGGCTGTGGGCCTGTGCTATCAGCCCTACCTCCCCCGATCCCTTTCTGCCCTGCTCTGGGCCCAAGAGGCTGGCCCCAGCTAGGGACGGTGCTCCAGGCTGCTTGCCACGTGGTCGCTGGCCAGGGTCAGCCAAGGACAGGCAGTGGAGAGGGTGGGGGGAGGGTGAGGGCGGGTGTTTCTCCCCGTCTCCCTCCTGCTGCTAGCTGTGTCCCTCTGACTCCAGCTACTGCTGAGCAGTTTCTTTCTCTTGAATGGGAGATTATTTTAGGTTGAGTACGAAAAGATTTCAGACAGTGGCAGGCCACAGCATTTAATACTGTTAAGTCGTAGAG